AACGTAACAGACACACACACACATACATACATACACATGATATATAGTATATATATATATGTATACGTCGACATGCGGAGCGTCGCGTCTTTCACGGTCATTTCGCGGTGCTGCCGATCGGGGACTCTGTTCGCGACCCGCTTAAAATAGAGCCGCCGTATACCTCGGTAGGTCGTCGATCCCTCTTCCGCGTCACCTGCCATACCGCTGCGCCTGCTGCAACTCGTGTCAAGACACCAGGAGCCGACGACGACGACGAGGCCGCGCGCGCGTGCATCGGGCGCAACCACTGTCGCTCCGAGTTCGCCCGTCGATGTCAAGAAACGGCACCGATCGAACGGTCATTGACTAAAGGCTTCGACGGTAAATAACCTTACGCCCGTTACTATATAGACGCGCGTCTCTATATCGCGTCTCATATATATATATATGTATGTATACATATATACATACGAGATGATACTCGCGAGCCAAGAGTTTTTTTTGACAAGCGGCTTCGACGATATTACGCGAGAGACACATGAATGAGATTTATCAAATTTTGTTTACGGTACTCCGACCGGCTATTTAAAAAAAAGTTACATTTAATCGCCAGAACTGACACGACGACTTTTCCGGCTGCAAAGGCCGTATCTCTTTGTGCGCCAATTAGCGATATCTCGCGCGAGTCACGATTGATTCGCAGCGATTATAATTTATTAATTACCGCGCGATTGCGATTAGTATTTTACCATTTTGGAAATAAAACAAAAAAAAGATCGTTCACTTTTCGAAATTTGTATTTTTGTTCAAAATGTGATGTGTTCTTTGATACTACGACACTCTCTCTTTCTCTCTTTCTCCGAGCCAGTGTCGTTTTGATAAAGCCCGATCGTGTATCGCGGCGCGGAGGTCGGCGCTTTGTTCGCGGGTCTGCTACGTCAGACAAAACGGATATCGTACGGTCGAGTAAAACGAGGAGATCCCACGGCCAACTTGCACATTTTATAATGAGCTTGCTGCTGATTCGTTGCAAAAAGAAAAAAAAAACAAAAGAGGTGCAACGCAGGGCAAAAATATCGGCATGTAAAAAGCGCGCGTCTAGGAACTTAACAAATTTCTCCGTAACTACATATACGGTTTATCAGGTTATCACTCTCCTCCGCGCGTGATTCACTTTTATCTCCTTCCCGATCTCTCTTTGTTGTGATGCGTAAATTCAGGAAAGATAAAGAAGCAAAAATTGAGCAACTTATAAAATTTAATTCGTACAACGCGTAATAAGAAACAAAAAAAAAAATTTACCCAATCTAAAATTTACATTTAAAGTTGTAACTTTGAGAATTTTATAATGTATGCGTAATATATTTGTATAATCGTACGTAATACATTATAAAACACACTTTTGGAACGGAGTATACAACGAGCGTTCGCGTTAACACACGCGGCGATTGTCGCGTGATGATAGTGCGTATCGCTTACGTTACGTTTCACAGTTTGGCGAACGGTGACATATTTGTGTTTTACCTATTATTCCGGAACAACGGTAACAAACTATCGTACGGCAACATAAAGAGCACAAAAGGCAGCAAGGCGGGTTCTCCTGCGGCCTACCTGTCGAAGCAGCGGCGGCGGTGGTGGACCAGAGAGCGCGTTTTCTCGGTTCTCTCTCTCTCTTTCTCTTTCTCTCTCTTGGCAAGCCGCCGCTTCCTCCTATCGTCCTTACGCAATGTCACTGACCCGAGTCCGTATCTCGATGCACAAGAATAAGGAGGAGCAGGAGGCGGAGAGATAGAAGGAGAGGAAAAGAGCAGAAGAGAGGGACAGAAAGGAGGCACGAGAGATTCCATCGTCGTAGTCATCGTTTGTCGTCACCCACGGCTAGGCTGCCGCGCCGACGACGACGCCGGAGACGCCGACAGTTGTGAGAGATCGGCGGCAGTACATAGTAGTGAGACGGCAAGAGGGTTGGGAGAAAAAAAAAGAAGCGCAATAGCGTTGCGCCGGTGCAACGATAGCGCGGGGCTCTCTACGCCGCTTGGTCCGGCTCGTCCCCCGGTCCGGCTCTCCTCCTCGACACGGCGCGACGCAACGCGACCGCGATGCTCCCGGAGTAGGGAGAGAAGACCTTGAGCCTCGTCACGTGACCCCAAAGGTGCATAGGAGCCGGGTAGGGCGGCTCATGGAGGGCCTTGAACTTACCGCCGACGTCGTCCGAGGCGGCGTCGTAACTATCGCGCGCGCACGCTTGCGTTCCCAAGTGGAAAAAAAAGGACTGGCGAAGAGAAAGAAGAAGAAGAGAAGAAGAGAGAGAGAGAGAGAGAGAGAGAGAGAAAGAGGTGGGAGGAAGGGAGGAAAGAAGAGGGAGAGGGTGAAAGACACAACGTGATGCGACGTGTCGCGACAATGCTATTCGTCGTAGCATATGTGATGCCTGACAATCTTTCTCAGTCTCTTCTTCTTTTTTTTTTTTCTTTTTGGTTTTCTCCGATTCACTTCGTGGTCAAAATTAAAAAGTAAAAAAAAAAAAAGAAAAGAGAGAGAAGAAGAATGTACTCTCGCTTTATGTATATGCGTGCTCTCACGTGTACGCTCGTTTCCGAAAACGTAGAGCAGCTCTTTACAGCACCGGTATGCGACTTGTACTCATCGCCCGCAAGGACTACCTGACGTCGTCTTCTGCTGCCGGCAACGCCGGCGAACAGAAAATACAAATGTTCAGGATTGACTTCTGGTATACCGCCCCAAGCGAATTACACGCAATTGCTATATATAAGTGTCTTATTGGACACACGTATACTCATATCTAAGATCTAGGATTGTTTAGTAGTTTTCACACACAATTATAGATATTTTTACCGTTTGAATATTCGCGAATTCGCGCGCGACGTAAAACATTGCCACACTATTTCTATTCGGGTGAGAAAATTTAAATCGTCGAATATATTTAGCGAGTCGAATAAGTTCAAGCGAGCAAAAGTGTAACGTTATTGAGAGAATCTAATAAATCATCATTGCTTTGAACGCGCGCTACCTTGAATCTACCAGTTCGTTACAGCGAGAAGTTGTTGATCGGTCGCAACTCGCGCGGGAATGTTGTCAGCTCTCAAGATGGAAGTTTTGACACTCGATACGCTCATAGTCTCTAACTAGGGAGAGGTGAAGAAGATCATCCCGCTTAATCGAGCGTGATAATGTACTCTATTTTTTTTTATCCGAGATGCATACACGAAAAAAAAAAGATTTGCTGGACAAGCGAGAAATTTATAGTTACTGGTCAGCGAGAAAAAATTTGCGCCAAGTCTGTTGAGATTTTTTTGATTAGCCAACAAAATTCGTTCGTTGATGAAATAAAATATCAGTAGACAAAGTTTTCTCTTGCTGGTCATATATAATAGCAAAACGCGCTTTGTTTTCTTCGTGCGCGAGTTACCTATCGAACTCTCTCTCTCTCTCTCTAGTTTAAGAGTATTTTAAATTTAATGAAATAATAAGATAATAAAAAATTCAATAAGCGCTAATTGAGAATATATCGAGCGATCCTCCTTAATCTAATAAAATGTTATTAAAGCGTTTGCGTCGGAGAGGTCTCTTACACACCGGTCTTTCTTCGATATGCTTGACCGCCGCTCTGAACTCGCGGCTTCGTTCGTCTCTCGTCGTCCCGCTTGTAGCTAACGTTACACTCTACTCTCTTCGGCGCGGAACTATATCTCGACTATCTCGGATAGGTTTCGTTCGGGGTGCTTCGCGATTAATATAAACTATCATAGTTGGAGCAAAAGTGCACGATGATCTGAGATTGTCGCTGTTGGTGATGAAACAAGCCGCTTGTCTGTCCGCGCTCTCTCGGGGTGCATTGTGATTCATGTGTGATCCTAAGGAACATCCCGATATCCTTTTCATCCTTTCGTTCCGCAAGATGAGAAGAGTTTTCTTTCCGAACCGGTTTCTTTTATAATGAAATATATTTTTCTATTGCGGGAAAAAAAAAACTGTTTTGATTCATCAAGTTCTGGTTATTAATAGTCTGGCAGAGAACGGAATATATTCTTTGCGTAATAAAGGAATTGCGAAACTGGGAAAACTATTTTTTTTTCGAGGATATATACGCGTATTATGAGGCGAGGTGTACGATCGTTAATGTATTACACGCGCGCGCGCGCGCGCTCATGTGTGTAACCTTCTCTCTATTAACACGCGCGCGCACGCACACGTGAGAGTCGCGTAAATTATTTTAATTACCGAGCTAGCGCGCTTCAGAGAGCGTGTGACCTAGATGAACGATTTGCAACGTGTAAAACCCGCGCTTGGTTTTTTAATAAAGAATCCAAGATATAAATAGTGCGATAGAACTTTAATAATGCGCGTAAATTAATTGTCGAGAAGAATTATGGTGACTCACAACAACGCGTACGTGATCAAGTCTGGTTTTTTTTTTCTTTTTTTTTTTTCTTTCAACGCGCTCTTCCCGAGTGATGCGCGCATCATCGTCTGTCGCGCGAAACTACGTATTCGCGGGCGTGCGAGTGAACGCGCGTGCTTTTCCGCGCGAAGGTCGTTTGGCGGTTCCGCGGGACCGGAAGTAGACCGGCCTTGTGACTCGGCCATCGGCGTAACCTTGTGGAAGAGAGAAAGAGAGAGAGAGAGAGAGAGAGAGATTCAGCACTCGTGAAATTGCGTCTAATCACGCGACTAAATTTTCGGCGAACAGTCCGTGTGCCAAGCTCGTTAATACACTCGGTCGCTCTCTGAAACTAAAACGTTTGCCAAGTCTTCCGTGTTTTCGCAAAACCGCATCATTGCACAAATTGTGCAAAGCTACATACTTCCCAGCAAAAAAAATCATTTCTCACGTACTACTTCCACTATTTTTTTTTTTTTTTGACTTTTTCTTAACTTCTGTTATTGACTAATAATTCCGAGATTTCTCTTCGCTTGTTCCACATCGGTCTTACTCGCGATATTCCGCAATCGTATGAACACACTGGCATATAGTCGCCCTGTATTTGTTATTTCAGCGAGAATTAATCCTCATCGTGCTCAACGTGGTAGTAGTTTCCGGTAACTCGCGGAAGCGGCAGAAATCGGAGAGTTCGCCGTAAGGATGCTGTGCGGTTTCGCAGAGCTCGAAAGGCTGCGAGTCAAATCACGAGCTTGTGACAGCGTGCCCAGCTGAGAATGTCGGATCAGAACGGGCCCAATGAGGGCCCCCCAGGACCAGGACCCGGCTCGGATTCGGGCTGGTGGCAAAGCACGCAGACCTGGAAATCGTCGGCGACCGCCACGTCGTCGACCTCGTCGATCTCCACTTCAATAGCGGGTTCCGCCTGCGTCTCCGTCTCCTGCGTCGCGTCCAGCTCATCTACGACGAGCTCGTCCACGTCGACCAACTCGTCCGCGACCTGTTGCCTCTCGTCGTGCATCGGTGTTTCCTGCACGATGAGCCCGAGCCGCTCGACGGAATCGGGCAAGAACGTATCCGTCACTACTATTAACGTGCCCAATCAAGAGATGCACGATGGTAAGCACCTCGACCTCGCTGATGCAATACCTTCAACGTGGCTGTTGATATGCGGAGCGTTTTTTACTTAAAAAAAAAAAAAAACTTTTACAGGTAAAGGGATGTGTAAATATCTTGGACGACAGAATGGCGTAACAGTGTCAGTGGTGTCGACTTCCTCCCTGCTGGCTTCCCCCCTGGGAGGCGCGAACGCAGTGCCGACGGGCGGAATCTGTACAAATACGGGAGCAGCGCATAATATCGGAATCAGCGGTATCCTTGCCGCGAACGCGGCTGACGTCGACGACGCGGAGGACAGCGACGGCGAGATCAGCAAGATTGACTTCCGAGGTGTTAATCTGCGCTCGAAGAAGAAACGCGATGTATCGAACAGCCAGAATGGCGACAAGATCGGTGACGGGGACGCGAATGGCGACGGCGGCGCGTGCTGCGACGATAATTCGCAGCATCAGCCCGAGAGACCTATGTCGTGGGAGGGAGAACTGTCGGATCAAGAAATGTCTTCCAATACAATTACCAATCAGGTAAAACTCGTTCGATTGCATCGGAATTGACGATGAGATTTATCTTATTTGTCTGAAAGAAGTTGAAACAACTTCACATATTTTAAACGCATTTCAATTGAAATTATCGACTTCAGGATCAAAACGAGGAAACGTCTATGGAGGGGGTTCAGGTATGCAGCGCGAGTCCTGGACCTATGGAGCAGAAGTTTCCAATTAAATCAGAGCCGGATTTTCGATCCAGCTCGGGTTTCACGATAGGATCGTTTCACGATACCGGCCTGCCCATGACACACAATCAACAGCTGCAGCAACAGCAGCAGCAGCAACGCGGTATCGAAAATCTTGAACAGACTCAACAGAGCGACCTGCCGCTTCTCGGCGGATACAACAATTCAACGCCCAATCACAGTCCTGTTCTCAATCCGCGACATCATTTAACTAAGCACAGTCATACTAGATCCCAGGTGAGCTAATGTACATTTTCAGCTTATTAACACGTGGACACGTTATCACTTTGATTTTCGAATTCTCTCTCTTTCTCTCGCAGGTACCGTCGCCAGACTCCGCTATTCATTCCGCATACAGCGTCTTTAGTTCGCCAACGCAGAGTCCTCACGCGGCGCGACACTCAGCCCTAGGAGCGGGCAGTCCGATACTTTCCTCGTCGTTATCCTTGTCCCGGCATAGCTTCAATAACTCAACCTCCTCCCTGTCGCTATCGTTGTCGCATTCACTTTCGAGAAACAACTCCGACGCTTCCAGCAGCTGCTACAGCTACGGCTCACTCAGTCCGCCCACGCATTCACCCGTTCAACAGCCAAGACATCCGCATTCGCATTCGCAGCATCACCAGCATCAGGTGACACAAAGTAGTCCGCTGCATCTGCCAGCTTCGTCCGCCGTTGCCGCGCATCATTATTCATCTTCTTCCGTGCCAGGCTCGGAACTGTCTCCGGACGGTCATCCCGTCACGGAGGATCAGGAAGACTGCAGAATACCCTCGGCATCGTCAGGTATTTCTACTAGGCAGCAATTAATCAACAGTCCCTGTCCGATTTGTGGCGACAAAATAAGCGGCTTCCATTATGGAATCTTCTCGTGCGAGTCATGTAAAGGATTTTTCAAGCGCACCGTCCAGAATCGTAAGAACTATGTGTGCCTTAGAGGCGCAGGCTGTCTGGTCACCGTAGCTACAAGAAAGAAGTGCCCGGCCTGCCGCTTCGACAAGTGCCTCAATATGGGTATGAAGCTCGAGGCGATCAGAGAGGATCGTACCAGAGGCGGTAGAAGCACTTATCAGTGTACGTACACTTTACCGGCGAATCTTGTTGGTTCTGCTGGTGGTATGGCTAACGAAAAGCTGACGGTAGCGGGTAACTGCAGCCCGGCGCCAACCGGAAGCGAACACCATTACTCCGCTAGATATCACTCGAATCATTCGCACAAGATGCAAGTGGTGCCTCAACTCTTGCAAGATATCATGGATGTGGAACATCTCTGGCATTACAACGACAACGAACGAATAAGCGGCAGTCGCGGATTACCCGGGAATACGAGGAACACCGTTACTGGTCATGAAAACATGTCACTCGGCGGATCTGGCAGTGCTTCGGCGTCCAGCGGTATCGAGACTGGGGGTATTGGGGCCGGAAATAACGGAAGCGGGGTGAAATGTTCGTCAAATGATTCCATCAACGCCGATAGCAACAACATACAGGGAGAATCGGTTAGCCCCGTCGTCTCGTCTTCCACAGGGGCCGATCAACGTTCCACAAATGGCAATACTAACAATAATAATGGCAATTCTCAAGGTGCCAGTAATTCCAACGGCAATCCAACGCAACATCCGGATTTTCTGTCTAATCTGTGCAACATTGCGGATCATCGACTGTACAAAATTGTTAAATGGTGCAAGAGTTTGCCCTTATTTAAGAATATCTCGATCGATGATCAAACCTGCTTGTTAATCAACTCCTGGTGCGAGCTATTACTTTTCTCATGTTGCTTTCGCAGCATGAGCACTCCCGGTGAAATAAGAGTGTCTCTTGGCAAGTCGATTACTCTGGAACAAGCGAAGCAGCTTGGTTTGGCGACTTGCATCGAGAGGATGCTCGCTTTTACCAATAATCTGCGAAGGCTGCGAGTAGACCAGTATGAATATGTTGCGATGAAGGTGCGTTTCTTTACAAATAAAAATAAGATCGAACTAATAATTTTGTTTCTAGCCATATATTAAAATTCTTATGTTTCTTTTTTTATGTTCTTTGTGGGGAAATGAAAAAAAATAGGTGATCGTGCTGCTAACGTCCGATACGAGCGAACTAAAGGAGCCGGAAAAAGTCAGAGCTTCTCAAGAGAAAGCCCTTCAAGCGCTGCAGCAATACACAATCGCAAGGTATCCGGAGATGCCTGCCAAATTCGGTGAACTATTATTAAGAATTCCAGATCTGCAAAGAACATGTCAAGCAGGAAAAGAATTGCTCAGTGCGAAACGCGCCGAGGGAGAAGGCAGCTCGTTCAACCTTTTAATGGAATTGTTAAGAGGAGATCACTGAAATTAATCAACATAGTGAAAACATGCCGTAAGTTAATTGATTACTAATTGCAAGTAAATTTAATTAGTTATAAAAGAAAGAAAATTGTTTTAAAGAGAGCCATAATTTTAATACGATATAGTCAAAATTATACTGTGACAATAATTAAAAAAAAAAAAACTGCAATTCAACTTTTTTTTTTTTTTTTTTTTCAGATTCCACGCTTATAGGGTCCATAAGCTTAGGGAATCGGATATTAATAGATAACCGCAGAGTAAGAAAACGAAAAAAACGGCAGATGTGTAAGTTCCATAGCAACATTAGTACTCGGTGAGGGGACTGCATTCTTCGTAATTGGGATGCATTAAATTAAATAAAGAAAAGAACTTTTGTATATTTCACACCGGAATGCTTCCATACAGGGTGATGCGTGTTTGCATTCCTTGTTTTGAAACAAACGAATTTCAAAGCGGCCTACGGTAGTTGCATACCTGTAGATGCTAATGAGACTGAAAGTATAAATTGCAACGGAGATGCATGCAGAACTTTACTTTTACACCGATAAGCGTATATGATAAGCGTTGTACAGATATATACGGAGATGGCATCAAAAAAAAAAAAAAAAAAAAATGCTAAATTCTATATAAACGGATGTAATCTATTTCGAGCGCGATTTTTATTGTAGCGAACGCGAATCTATAGAGGCAGAGTTGACTTTTATAATTAACAATTATAATGAAACAACCAGCAGTATTGCGTATCGTTCTGCGCTTACTTAAGAACAGAGCATAGCCATGCCTTATATATTCCGGTTATGAAAGTGTACTTAAACCTTAACACATCCACACAGTCGACCAATTATCTACTTATAGAGCAGGTGTAATCATAGAATAATAATAAGTAATATATAGAATTACGCTATATTATTCATGAAATATTTGCTTCTTATCGATCACACAAATTATATTTTATATTTTCTTTATGTGTTTTGACAACTTGCCAACAGCGGAAACGGAAACTTTTTAGTTGGCATAAATAATAAAAAATTTGTATGAGGTCGAGATACATATACATATATATTAGAGCTGATGATATCCGGAATATCCCTTCGGGCATAATACAAGACATGCGGGTATTTAAATAATACGAGATAACGGTTTGCGTCGTCTCCGAATAATCGAGTATTACCTATATAAGAGATACAGAGATCGAGTACCTGGGTTATCCGGTACAAATCATCAGTTCTTATGTATGTACGTATACATACATGTACGTATATATACATCTACACTTGCTATCTTTTTTGTAAATATGTTTTTTTTTTTAATAAACAATTGGCTAATGTTGCTTTTCCGTTTTATTTATAAGAAAGAGAGATTTTATGTTTTATTAAAGTATTATTAATAAATTAAAATTAAGTACAATACACACATCATATTATATGTTAAAATATACATGTTAATATTTATATTTATGTATACATATATATACACACATATATATGTATATATGTATACATAAATACACGTACATATATACATATGTATACATATACATGCATGATTGTAATATACTTTTTTTTTTTAAAGAAGTAGATTACGATTCTTCAATATATTGGCAGCAAACTTGTGGAAGAAAAGGATTTTTATTATTTGTTATAAAAAAAGACACGTGAAGTTACTATAAAATTATAAAAATTTGTATTTTACGTTAATATACTCAAATTACAAATTTTATTATTTAGACTAAATTTTGCTAAGCCTATATTTGCAGTGTAATATCGTAAATGTTAAATAATTTTTTATTAAGCATGAAACGCAAAAGATTGTCTATACTGAAAATCGCGAAGAGAAGGAAAGTGAATGAGATAGAGAGAGATAGAGAGAAAGAGAGCGTACAGGTGTAATCTAAAAAATAAGATACAAAAAATCCTTAATATAAAAGAAACACATTTATAAACGTTGCTTGAAAGATATAGCTTACGTGCGGGACGAACCAATTGATCTCTGTCGTCGGTACTTTAACATGAGACTGTCTTACATTAGCACACTGTCCTCTTTACAGTTAGTCTTTTTTTTTTTTTTTACTTGTCGACAATACTTTGTGTAAAAACAAAACGTATAAAGGGCATCCCTCAAGACACTTAAAAATATTTTAATTTGCAATACTTAAATACAAAGACAATTTGTAAGAACCGTCTTCCCACAGTTGTATTTTAATAGGATGTAACTTATCACACCCTCTTGCGCACACATATCATTCGCATAACTGCTGACGGAAATTTTCTTTTTTTCTTTATTGTAAAAAATTATAGTCACTGATAATAATGTGCGGATCTCATTGTGCACGTTAATAGCACGTTAAAACAACAAAAACAAAAAATATATTAATCAGTAATATTTCGGACTTGGACGATGTGTTTTGGCGATGTTACATGCTGAATTAAAAGATTTCAAAACAGATTGTTTAGTTCGATTATATTTGAAAACAAAAAAAAAACGCAACGAAAGTAACGATGTAAATATAAAATAAAGAGAAAGAATCACATATTTTGTTGTGTCGCGTGTGTGCAGAATGCGTGAGAAAGAGGGAAATTTTAGGGAAAAGGGAATGAATGAGAGAGTGTGAGAGAGAAAAAAAATGTAAGGATGATATAGTAATACTTGTAACAAAGTCAACTTAAGCGGAAAATATAGTATGAGAATAGAGGATAACAAAAAAAAGATAAATATTTGCCTGTTAAAAATATGACTATTCTATGTTTTATGTTTGATAAATACTATTTCTATATACTCTTTTTAATGAGACATTTCTCTCTGCTGTAGTTCAATAACGATTGTCCTTTATGTGTGTGTATGTCTGGTATGCAAATGAAAGAAAGAACTTGCTTAAAAATATATTTCTTCAAGTGAAAAAGAAGCTTAAATATCGCGAAGATATTTTGGTTCAGCCGAAAATTCAATACTTTTTTAATCGTCAAAAGCAAAAAGTTACTCAATGAAGTCTTCCGTTTCCGATAATATTTTACGAAGGCTAAGGAAAAATAAAAAGAAAAAAAACAATCTTTTTGCCAATCATGACAATATTTGAAGGAAGCTGTGTAAAACAAGTCGGATGACACACTATGTACGATATCGGATGATACGCGATGAGCTTAAATACGACAGACTGCAATGAGACAATGATATATATAAATATATAAATATATATATATATAAAGTTGTAAAAGAAAAGGTTGTAGTATAAAACGGCGAAAATAAGCGGATTTTAAGGGCCAAACAACAGTGTAATATTAAACAGCCGGTATCCTAGAGATAATATTACGGATACTCAAACAGTATATATAGTATTTCTCTCTTATTGATATACATATTATTATAAATACAGCAAGAAATTTTTTATAGGGGAGACAGAAAAATAAATCGACAGAGTTTTATTCATCGTCAACTAGCTCAGCAGACTCGAAAAAAAATGCGCCTTTTTCACACTTCGATATTGTAAAAACCGGTCAGCCAAGCGTTTTGTACGTTAATATAAATTATTATACGATAGAGAGAGAAAGAGAGTAGAGATTATGATCTCAATAACGTGTTATATGTAAAACGCATTCGGCATTAATAATTTTAGACACTACTGACCTAGTTGAACTGCAAAAAAAAAGACAAGAGGAACGCCCGTCACATGTTATTTTACTCTGAAAATATTTCGTTCCCGACATAGAATAGCTGTTCACACAGATACGATTAGAAAGTAGTTTTATACATACAACACGATTTTTTTTATCATTACAAAATAAAAAAAAAATGTTTTTATAAAGTGTTGTCCCGTTTTTAAACTCATTCACTCGTTACTCCTCTGAATGTGAAATTTATTTTATTCCTTTTATCCTCTTCTCTTGAGTCTCGTATAGATTTTACGTATCGCATGTAAGAGTATTTGATTTTTTTAAATACTACTTTATAGTAAAGAACGAGATTATCTTAATTTATTTATATTCTCAAATGGAGTAAGATTATCTCAATTTATAGAAACAATTGTTTTTTGTGATACTTTTTAAAGTTAAATTGTTTTACAATATTAGAGAATAACAAATTTAAAATAGGTAATAAAATAGAGCACACAATATAACAATTGTACGATTTTATATCGTAAAATGTTTTGTATAACATATCAAACATTTATTTTATATTAAATGCAATACGCTACATATATATACACACACACATATATATATATATATGCATATGTGTGCACACACACACATATATAATTATATATAAATCTCACATGTGATGTGATTTATTTGTTCGTAATATCACTTGGCAAATATTTCTCTGGTGCATTGTCGTATAAGAATTATCCCTTGATAACTGCAATTGGTCGTAACTTAATGCATTTCTTGGAAATCCCAGCTTCATGACAAGTGTTGACAACATCCGTTACATTTTTATAAGATTCCGGAGCTTCTTTCATAAAACAAATGAGAGAGCACGACCCTGTATGTAAATATTTTCATATATCGGTTCGCATTAGAAATTGATAAATTCTTTATAAACACATCTATACTATAATTTATAACATATAGAACGCGATCTTACAATTTTCTATTCTTATTTTTATACTCACAGCGCCATGACATGTTGATCCAAATGTTTCTTTCATACCCTGTTCTGTACCAGTCAAAACGTAACTGCAAGTTCCCATTGTACCACCGATTAAAACTGGCTGTCCTGTTAACTGATAGTCTACAGGAATCAAAGGATGATGTGGTGGAAAAGCTCTTGTTGATCCCTTAAAATAAAATCATTTTTATGACGTATAATAAAAAAATTATATTTTATATACACACACGTGTGTGTGTGTGTGTGTGTATGAGCTATTGTTTAATTCTAAAAAGTACCAAATATCCAACATAAATTTACCTTTCTATGAACTAAAAGGGTCTTCTGCTTTCCTTCAACAATGTGCTCTTCTATTTTCGCAATATTATGGGAAACATCATAAATAACATGCATATCCAAGTCATCAGGAGATGAATGAAATTGTTTCGCAAATGCCTGTTGACAAAAATGTGTATTACATATACGGATATATATATGTCTGTTTATCTATTTCTATTATAATAATTATAATTTTTAAAAATACCTGTCGAGTAAGAAATGTCATAGAACTTCTATTAACCCATGCAAAGTTTGCAGCAGCTGCCATCGATTTTAAATAATCCTGTCCTTCTGGTGATTTAATGTGAGCGCATGCGAGCTGCCTATCGTTAGTTTCTATATTATCACGTTTCATAGCCTTTTCCATTTGTACAAGTGCATCTGAAATGTTTTTTATATGTTTTATATTGTAAAATAAGAAAATGTATGTGTATATATTGTAAAATAAGGAAATGTGTATACAAATGCACAATTTACTTTTGCCTGAAACGTTTTTCGCCGAGAAACATGATGTTTGAATTAAATTATTGATTCTTAAATAATTTTACCTGTAGCGACCTGATGTCCAAATCCTCTGCTTCCTGAATGGATCATAACACAAATTTGTCCCTTTTCTTCAATACCCATTTTACACGCTGCCCATTTATCGTATATTTCGTCTACCACTTGAATTTCTGCGTAATGATTTCCAGCTCCTAATGTACCTAACTAAAAAAATATTTATACATGAATTTAGTCATTGTTATATTACAATTTTTCACAAATATCCGCATTCTGTTTCATACTTGAGGGAGTCCGCGTTTCTTAGCTCTCATTGATACTTTTGATGGATCGGCATTCAGCATTCTTCCATATTCCTCGCAATGTTCNTTATCCTCTGCCCAAATGTAACCTACAATTTATGATTTTATTATATTTTTATTCTGATTAATGTACAATAATATGTTATGATGTCATTGTATATAAATCTTTTTACCTTCTCTCAAAGACCAGTCCATTCCCATTTCTAATGCTTCTTCCAAATCCCGCGCATTCATTGGGATAATTCCTTTCGATCCAACACCTACTGGAATATGGTCAAACATACTTTGCGCAAGTTGTTCCTGATAAAAATAGTTTTATAAATAATCACAAGATGAAAGTATTCACTGGTTTAAATGGAGGGTTTAGGATAATCAATAAGTTCTTCAAGTCAAAAATCATGGGACATTAAACTGTTGAAAATTATCAATAATAAAAAAACCTTTATTGGTAAGACATCATTCTCAAATAAGTTTGTTCGTAACAAACGAACACCACAATTTATATCAAAGCCTACGCCACCAGGTGATACAATTGATTTGGGATCATCCATATCAAATGCTGCCATATTACCTAAATGCAAGAAAGTAGTTCTTAAATATAATTTCATTCATTATAATAGTATGTTATTATAAGATAATATTATTCTCTCTTATCTATCATAAATAGAATTAATATTCTATATACTTGTTTATAAAAAATAATAGTTCTAGAAGATATAATTTACCAATAGCAAAGCCATATCCAGAATGTACATCTGGTAATCCAATGGATCTATACACAATACCGGGCAGAGCCGCAACATTAGCAATCTGTTTCATTCCTGGAAGAAAACCTCCAACTGCACCTGGTCGACATGCATTGCGCAATTCCTCAAACATCAAACGTTCCAGTGAATTGTTTACATAGAACACGCCTTCAACCTTGATGATAAAACATATTTATATAAAAAAATTGTAACAAATATAATATGAGCAATAATTGCACACATTTCAAATTGTTTGTAAATTATACATTTGTATTATAAAACCAACAAAACACCTTACCTTCATATTAGGTTGAAAGCCTTTTTTTATTTTCCAACAATATTCTGTTATTTTTTCCAAATATTTGAGCTCTTCTTGATATTGTCTTACAACCATTTTTCAAAATTGAATATAATTGTTTCTTCGGAATAAAAAATGACAAATGTTTAGTTTTTAGCAAACTGCTTCACAGATTTGAATAAGAATATATTTAATATTCTTCTCCTTTTCAGAAACAACGAATAAACTTGACTCTTTGATTGCGTGTTTAAGTTCGCGGACTCCGAAAATCCACCAAGAAACAATGTTTCTGCTCAATACACCAACTCCAAAGAAAGATAACGCAACTGAGCGCAACTGTAATAATTAATGCGTTTTTTAACTTTTTATGCGCTGATCCAGCTGATCATTGATGGAGAAGTGCACATGCGCACGATATTCTACATATATATATATATATGTGTATATATATGTATGTGTCTACCAACATATATATTAAGTCATTGAGGTTAACGTAAGACTTGTAGCAAAAGTTGCTACAAGTTGCGTCTGATTGCTTTTTCTTCTGAGACTGGTGTATCAAATATATTTGTTGTTTCTGAAAAAGAGAAGAATAGTATTGAATATATACATATGTTTATTTCATCATAGTTAAAGAACCCTAACTGAGCTCTTGCTGAGTTTTAACCAAAATGAGTGGTCAGGTTGTTCGCCACGTAAAACCAATTTTATCCGTCAGCAGAGAAGATGCTCGTCGAAAAGTACTCATATTATATAAAGCATGGATTCGTCAAGTTCCATCAATGTGTACGTTTTTCTCGCTCCCTTATGTTAGCAGCAAAGATTTTATAGTTTCTCTTATTATTTAACCTAAAACCTAAAACATAAGAAAGATCTTTCTTATATTTACTATTACTATTTACTGCTCTATATTTACTTTCTATTCAATCATTGTGTTAATGTCATTTAATACACTTGTTTTGTTAAATGCAATATGTATTATATTTTGTAATATACAGTTTTAATTTTGTATATATTGTGTATTATATAAATTATATTTAATATTAAGTTAATGCAAACAATTTATCATATTACCTAAGATAAGCATAGAGTTTTAAACTGTGTTATTAATCACAATAATTGCTACATTTAGCTTTTAGAAACAAATTTTTACCTGACATAATTTCTCTGAAATCACTGATTTTATTTGTAATAGATTGAAAACCAGCAAACAACAAATATTTTGCATCAGTTTAACTTTGTATATCTTTAACATGATATCTTTGTTTCTTCTTTTTACAGTGTTACTTTATGATATCCCTAAAGATGAAGCAGCTTGTAAGGCAAAGATACGTGAAGAGTTTAAACGTCATGCTCATGTCACTGATTTAAGAATTATAGATCGACTTATTATAAGGGTAAGAGAGCAAAAATAATACAGCCAAAATTACATTTGCTTCTTCACAAATAGATATTATATCTGTATTAATAAAATTTAAAATAATGTGTATGCGTGTACACATACATGTACACACACATGTAATTTTTCAATCAAAAAGAATCACAAAACAAAATTACACGAACTTTACATATTTAACTCTAATGAAATCTTGATTGATTTGTAAACAAATTTGTATGTATGTTATATAACAGGGTCAGATGGAATTACAAGAAGTAGCCAATATATGGAAAACCAAAAGTGGACTTATGCACTATTGGAAAGAAACATGGGAGAAGAAGCCAACTGATTTCATGTCAAAATTCCTTAGTGGGCAAGATTAATTTACTTTGCTTTGATTAGTTGATAAAATGCATCAACACCTGGTTGCATTTTAGAAATATGTGATTGTAACAAGTTATGTACATATGTGTTAATATAATAAATATGAAATGATTTTCTTGCAATGAATTTGGATATTGTGTATTGTAAATGTATTAAGAAATAAAGGCAAGAAATTTATTAATATTAAAAGAAAAACCGACATAAGATGCACTTTCAAATTTTTTGTGTATAGTACTCTATTAGAAGAATATTTGAGCAAAGGGACAGGGCGCACCTCCCAGCCATTTTCGAGAAAACTCGATTTAAATTAAATCATATAGTGTAGCTTATATACCCTTTCGTTAGTAGTATTTTTGAGAACCGCGGCGTAGCGCAGGGGCTAAGGCGCCTGACTACTACGCTGGAGACTAGGGTTCGATTCCCGCTGGCTTTTTTTTTTTTTTTTTTTTTTTTTTTTTTTTTTTTTT